TCCATATAAATACACTTAATTTAATGAATTCTTAGGAAAGTGCAGCTGTTTAAAAATGTATATAACTGGAAGTTAGCTGATAAAGGTCCAGTTTAAACCAGTTCAGCCTTTTAAAGATCAGCTGATTTAATATTATTCCAGGCTACGTGTTCAGCTTTAAAGTGTCTGATACATATTTAGCTCCGTGTTGAGATTCCTGAAGATCAACGAAGCGTGAAGCGATCCAGAAGCTGTAAAAGCAGTCAGTAAAAACCCAGCGAGTCGACATAGAGCAACAGGGATTTCAGAGTAACATGATTCCACCTCCCTAAGAGTTGCTTTAAAGCCCGGCCGCTGTGCTTAGCTCAATAAACTGTTTTCCCACTGCGCTCCGTTAGAGGAGACGGGGAGAATAAAAGCATGGAGACTTTTTCAGGGTCAGCTGAGGGGAAACAAGGAAAGTTCTGATCATGGTAAAACGCCTGAGCTGAATCTTTTTCTAACCATGAAATCAAAGTTTGTTTATTCATTATGTGCTGCTGCTTGTTTTCTTTATTGAATTACAATGAGATGCAGAAAGTGTGACTAGACACTAGGAGCATAATTAGATGAAAAAAGAGCAGATATCCTCGTAGTTAATGAAGTGCTCTTTGCCTCTTGTATAAAGACTAATTGTTTGTGGAGGAATTCACATTCCAAAATTTAAAGATGATTTAATTCACAAGGAATTGCATATTTATTAGGGATGAGCATGAAGCCCTTTGTTCTGAGATAAGAATAAAAATTCTCTTTTACGCCGTGAAACCAGGCGGCAGCAGCTATTCACCAGCAAAGTGAGTAAAGAGAGTCTTAAATGATCAGAATGCCTTTGTTAGCTGCAGGAACTCTCTCCGGCCTCATTCGGCACATCACTGCTTCAGGCTGATGTTTCAACCCTCCGGTCTTCATCAGACAGCTGAATGTCGTACGTGTTACATAAATTCCAACGCCATGCATCTCTCAGCTGGAAGTTTTTTCCCTGACGCTGGTTCAGCTGCTGGTTCGGCCTTGCGGTGGGGACGCCTCCGGGCTTTAATCCCCTGCAGTGCAGATTTTCACAGTGACCTTGTTTAAGACGCTCCATAGCTGGACAGGCTTCTCAGGATGTGTGTATGTGGGGAATGAAGCAAAGTCCTGCATCCTATTGACTCAATCCCTCAGCAGGATTTATTTTTTCCAGTTTTTTTTTTATTACACTGCAAAAAATCAAAATCTATATAAGTGATTTTTTCTTAAAATAAATGTGTTTGTTCTTGAATTGAGGAGGTAAAACAAACATTTTGCCAATGGAACAAGACAATTTACACTTAAAATAAGAAAACACAATTACATTGTCTTATTTCAAGTGCATATTATCTAATTATCTTATTTTAAGAGTAAAATTACTCATTCAATTGGCAAACTATCTCATTTACCTCCTCAAATTAAGGGTGAATACTCTTAATTTAAGAAACTTTTACTTATTTCTAGATCGTTATTGCAGTGTAATTCTCTTTTAAGCTGATGCAGTGCAAAAAAAATCTTGAAATATATACACTTAATCCTTAATTAAGTGTATATACCCTTACTTTAAGCAGGTAAATGAGATACTTTGCCAATTGAATGAGAATGTTTAGCCTTAGAATAAAATAATTAGATAAAATGCACTTGAAATAAGAAAATAGATTTTTTTTTTCTTATTTTAAATGTACGTTGTCTTATTCCATTGGAAAAGAGTCTGACTTACCTCCCAGAATTTAAGACAAAATGTATTTATTTAAAAAAAAAATGACTAATGTAGATTTCAATTTTTGCAGTGTGTTTATTTATGATGTTGCTTTATTACACATACATACCACTTTTTCTTTTCTCATTTTTTCTCAGTTCATTTTATGCCTTATAGCTCATGAAGCAAAACGCTTAATATATGTATAAACACGCTGCAAAAATCTAAATAAGTAATTTTTTCTTAAAATAAATGCATTTAGTCTTGAATTAAGGAGGAAAGTGAGACATTTTGCCAATGGAACAAGACAATTTACATAAAAAATAAGAAAACACAATTGCATTGTCTTATTTCAAGAGCATGTTATCTCATTATCTTATTTTAAGAGTAAAAATACTAATTCCATTGGTAGATTATCTCATTTACCTGCTCAGATTAAGGATAAATAAGGCTTCTAGATTGATTTTGTAGTGTATTGGGTTTTATTTCGGATTTACATATATGTTATTCTCTTTTTGTTTTGATTGTAGTTGTAGTTCTCCTTTTGATCTACACCAGGTTATATTGACTTCAAAGGTTGAAAGCTAGTTCTGTTGAACTGATTCACACCAAAGTATCTAAAGGATATTTACAGTCAGACTGGTTTTCTGTTTAAGGAAACCCAGCTGATTGCATCCAGTCATTGACTTTGCAGGATTCGCGTCTCCTGTGTGAGCAGGTGGCGACAGTAAACATTCGCTTGCATCGACTCATTGACTCGGCAAGAAGTATGCATGCAGGATCAGTGCAGAGAAAAAATGTAGGAGACCTTCAGCAGAACCAGAACCGGGATCAGTGGGTGCAGCCAGGGGCCGCCTGGGGGCTCATTCAGTCAGCCAGCTACTCTAAACTCCTCTGCTTTTGGGTCTAATATATATAAATATATATATATATATATATATATATATATATATATATATATATTTTT